TATGTTGACTCACCGGATAGACCCATCAGCCCCAGACATGCCAGGTGCAGTCATGACACCGAGAGCATGGTCCAGCCTTTGAATGCACTGGAGGGAATCCTGTTGAGAGCTGGGAAATACTCATGCCCCTGGAAGCATTATAAAACCTCAGAACCCCCGGAAAACAGAAATGAACCCCATACACAGAAATGAAGCTGGGGTGAACTCTCAGACAATACTGCACCTCCAAATCTAAGCTGACTTTTCTCTTTCCCAAGTGACCCTCTGCTTCCCTGAAACATGGTTGTATCTTAGTATGGATATCAAATACAAACGAAAAGATTTTGTGATCAGCTTGTGTTTGATCCCTTCTGGCTTCTCATTATGAATGCTATGTTACAAATTAATGAAGCTGAAATAGCTCAGTATTAATATAAGGATAAAGACGGTAGCCCATGGAAAGGGAGTCAGACACAGATTTTTAAACCTGTAATTGATTTACTCTGGAATTCAGACAAATCAGTTTCTGCTCCATTTCCATATTTGTAAGATCCAAGCTTCCTACAGGGGAATTAACTTTTAAAGCAAAATTTGAAGTACTGTCTAAAAGTGATGGCTCTGCATGCATTACCCTAAGGAACCTGTTGCTCCTTCTGGTCCCCTCCTACAAAGTTACCTGTTTATCATGAAAGGTTCTAAATCCTAGGCCCTGTACCTTCCTAAACTGTTTGCAGTTGGAGCTCTGCAATTTTAGAGTCTGACATCTTCCTCACCACATAAGGCTTTACAACCATAATTCCTGTTTCTCCATTTAAAAGAAATTACCTGAGTATTTGGTAAAAAAATCCACGTGTTGAATTGCATGTTCCCTAAGGGCAGTTTTAGCTTTCTGGCTTCTAGAACGACAGAAAAAGGCAGTCAGCTTGGGGCTATATGAAGAAAAGATGGAAGAAAATAAAAGAATAGCCTTAGCTCAGTCATTAACCTTATCAGCACAGAACTTGTCTCCAATCTATTTGCAAACCAGACCTCAGCCACATCCTATTGCAGGAGACAGAGGCTAGAGCATATGACTTGTGACTAGCACTCACCCCCAGCCCTGAGGAACAACAGCTCTGAACTGACTCAGAGCCAGAAAGCAAGATAGGACTGTACAGGATATTAGCTAGGCTCACGCTGCACGCCGGAGGGAAGGCTCTGTGGCTGTGACAGAAGATGGCAACCTAGCTGATAAGAGGCAATAGTAGACACACATACACAAAGCAACTTTATGAGGGAAACTACGAAGACACTGAGTTTACAGCTAGAGGCAAAACCAAACAGTAAACAAGTTTGCTTAGGTCTAGGGCTGCTGTGCTTTGGCATATGCAATTGCAATCCTCTTTTTCAGTTTGATTACTTTGAGTTTCCTGTTCATGTGACTTTATTTTCCCCTATGGGCTGTATTTATTTCACTGAAAACAGCTTTTTCTGGCAGAGTACTGTATTGTGAAGTCTTTGGTGGCTTCTACAATTTAAGCACTGCCGATTACAGACTGTCACCAACGCCTCCAGCAGACAGATGGGATGTGAGAGCACAGCGATACTACAAGCATTTGTAACTAGACTCCCCTCAACACCTTTTTTCACACCAAGGCGCTAACCTCCTCCTCAAGTACAAACCATTGTGCTGTGGATTGCAAGTGCTTATTCCTGATCTAAAAGCAATTTAGATTGAAGGTTGCTGGAGCCAGAATCCAGTTTAATTATAAAAAATGAACAAGTACTTCTACTCAATTAAGTTACTCACAGACAGAATTAGGTATCCAGCTGACAAACAGCTTCACTGTAAGAGATTCTGCAGCAAACTGAGCTTGTTTAATTTCTGACACAGATTATCACAGCAAGAATTGTTTCACCAAACATCTCAGCTTCATACCTTAAACCCATAGCAAAGGTCTGGTCTGCAAATATTTAGGTACTTGTCCAAGTTTCTTAATGTAAGTAAACATTCATATAAACTGTTGTGTACAACCATATATAAGAACTGACAACTGTCAGGCATGTGCACTTGTAGGACAAAGCATACAATCATGTCAGTTGAAAGACACTTCTCAGGTCATCTAGACCAAAATCCTGCTCAAAGCAGGGCAAATTAACATCAGGTGGCTCAGGGCCACATCCAGTTGAGATTTTGGTGTCTTCAAGGATGCAGATTCCATAACTTTCCTTAGCTTCTGCTCCAGATTCTAACTACTTGTATAGTTACATTCTTTTCCCAACAAGAACTTTTCTCTGCTGCCTCTCTCCTATTCTATGCCCTCTGAGATGGGTCTGGCTCCAACTTCTGTATACCCTCCCATTGGATAGTTCAAGACAGAGGAAAGGTCTCCCTTAGTTTCCTCTTCTAAAGCTAAGCAAACCCAGTTCTCTCTCCTCTTATCCCTTGTTCTCCAATTCTCTGATCCCACAGGCATCCACTGTACTCACACCGGTGTGAGTACACTGGGGTGTCCAAAACAGAACACCAGATGTGGTCTTACAATTACTGGAATACCCAGTCATACCTGCCCTTGTTAAAATTAATGAGGTTTGGTTCAGCTCATTTCTCTCACCTGTCAAGGAACCTCTGAATAGCAGCTGTGTCCTCCAGCATATCATAACCTACTTAGTAATACATGCTGCTCTTGATTGTGAAAACTCAGGCTCCTTACCTTTGTGGAAGCTACAGATTTTACAAGATGTACTGTGTGATTCCCTTTGCTCTGAACATGCTACATGCTCACATTAGCAGCTTTCTGAATGTTTTATGAATACAGAAGTGTTGCCTTTATTTTCTTCTATGGGTCTGAGCTCCTTCTGGCACCACCCAGGATGCATCAGGGCCCCATCTGACTGGTTTGGTCAGTGCATCAAGAAGTACGAAGGCCACAGAAGAGAACTGAAAAACCCACAACACATAGGGACAATGCAGAAAGACACAGACTGATACTGAATTGAGACAACAGGAAATGTTACAATTCAATTCAACAAATGCTGACAAGATTCAGATCAAGAATGTTTAACTATTTTATATTGGTAAGAAAACCTGGGACAATGCATCATAATCATTTCCAAAACTTTGTTCCATTACAGATCCATGTTTTGGTCTGATACTGAATAGAGACAGCTTTTCTAGAAATAACAGTTGCTCATCACATGAGAATTCTTATTTGTTTTGTAAAACCAGGACTAGACCAGCAACAGTAGCATAACTCACTGTTAAGGAACATCTACCAGGATCTCTCACGAGAGTTAAAAAGGGAACAAAAGTTTTAACACAAAATAATTCAAACAGATAAATCTTATGGCACATTTCAAAGGCTGACATCGAAGCAATTTTATGTAGACTCTTTTTATATAGTAAATAGTTACATATAATATCCATGACAAAAATATTACAGCTTTAGTATTTAATATCCAATCTAAATATAAGTATTCAAAAGAAAATATTTTTACAACATTTCAGTAGTCACTTAGCTCAGTAGTTGGTTGTAATAATCCTTAATGTTTTCAGGAACTGGATGGAGCTATAAGCACAAAAACTCCTATTAAAGTTAATACATGACAAAGTTCCACTGCAACCCTCTGAAAAGCAAAGAGTTACATTAGAAGAAATTCAGACACAGAAGTACACTGAAATATGTTGTGTCCTACGCAGAGCTGGATACTCTACTGGTAAGAAACATGATGGTAACTTCACAAGGCACTCCGAATTAAACTACAGTAACTCCAGTCCACAAGCATTTTAGAATCTTGGTATTGTGCAGTATAAAAAAACCCAGACCAACCCCACACCTATATTTATTCAGTATAAATTGGTTTAATCTCTGTCCTAGCCCCAGAGCAGTCAAATTATATTGCACTTATAAAATATTCTGTGTAGGCTGTGATAAAATCTAGTATTTACACACTGTGTTTGTTAAAGACCAATGCAATGTAAAATATTTTAAGAACCAAGATTTAACATTTATTCTTGTATTACTAATATAACCAGAGGCTACATTAAAAAAAAAAGTATATTTTATTAACTCCTATTCTAGAAACATTTTTGGTCCTTCAGAAAACTTGTGCTGCAATTCATGTTCACAACTGGTATCAATGCCAGCCTGAAACTGCAATAGTCAGAATATTTAAATAAATAAAAACATGATTTCTGAAGACGTAATAGCTTCGGAGTTCTGTAAACTGGCTGCTGAGGAAAGTCTGTAACAAGACTCAATTTGGCATATGTTTCTTTAATTGGCAATACCTTACAGTTATACAACCTCTGCCAGGGTAGAAAACAGTTTGGTAGGCACATCTTATAAATCTGTCTGGAAAAAAAGACCCAAAAAATACTGACTGTTCCTTAGTTATATGAACAATTAAAATGATCAAAGAGTAACATGATCCACTGAAACCAAAACTGACATTTATGTGATTTGGGGGTGGCGAGGTGGGGGAAGGGGGGAGAAAATTATGTCTGTTCTTTTTTAAATACAACCTAAAGGAAATGAACAAACCATATATGAATATATGATAAACATGAAGTACAGGACACAAAGGTTGGCAGAATAAAATGGGCATAATAAATCTATAGAAATACTGATCTAGACAGAACTGGTGTCGTAGCTGCAGCTCACCAGCAGACAATCATAATTTTTCAATTGAAATTTGAAGAAACTTTCTAAATCTGTGTTTGGTAAAACAAATTCAGTGCAACGCACTAGCTCTGATGAAACTTTGCTGACATCTAAGTTGCCCTACATTCCCGTTAAAACATAAGTGGTAACAAAAGTAACAACAGCTGTAGCATTATACCTTTTATATATAAACATATGGATATGCATGTTCTAGAAATTCAAATGATGTCACGAGGCCTCATAATCTGTGCTGGGTATATTTTATATAGTACAGTTGTAGTTTACATGTTCAATTTCATGACATACCCAAAGTGCTCTACACATGCACCTCTGTGCTTCTCTGTAATTTTTATTCAATATAGAATAGCTTTCCTTTGGTTTTCATCACTGAAAACTGGTGGTTTGAGAGAGCAAGGAAAAGCTATTTGCAGGATTTTATGGAAAACACAGGATTTGCTCTTTCAGATTGTTACTGACTGATGAAATGACTAAATGTTTCTGTTCAAAACCATGAACCATGTTGGTAAGCTTTCTGTTAGAGACTAAGAGCTGTCACGGTACCTAATTTAAATGCCTCCTCTGTGTAGTTCATGAAGGCTTCAAAGGGCAACTGAAAATCCTTCAGTTCAGAAGCCTACCCTTTCTCATTGCCAATACAGAAAGATGTTTCTGCAAGTGGCAATGAAAATTCCTCTCCCTTTCCACAGTACAGAATTAGAGGAATATCCAGTGCTACACCTAATTAAACCTCTGTCCCATCACTAATAAACTGCAAGCAAAGATGAATGTTGAGAGGAAAAAACCAAATACTAATATCAAGGACTAACAAAGCTCATTAAATAACTACAGTGTGATTTGTCCATAAGTTAAACAGTTAAGCTGCAACTGTACTATACTTGATATAAACTTAATTGTAACTGAGTTAACAGCCACATTTGCCTTTTTCTTGCTCCTCATTCAGTTGTTCTGTAGAGCTGTGCCCATTGGAGCGTACCACCCCTTCTGGGATCCAGGATTTATCCACACACCGTTCCATGCGCTTCATAATGAGGTCAAGCAGAGTTTCAATAGCTTTGCTTACATTATTCCCGTTAGCTGCACTGGTTTCAAAATATGGTATTCTGCAGAAGAAAAAACCCACAAACTTGCATCATACAATTTGTATTCATAGGAGAAAATACATGATTACTGCCATATACCAAGAAATCACATAAACACTGTCATTGCATAGCAGAAACACATAAAATGATCAGTGGTCTGCAACCCAAAATAAGTTAATGAAATGATCAACTCTGTAGGTAAGACAGAAGGAAAAGCTTTAATTTACATCCTGGAGTCCACAATCTAGAGAGGCATTGGTCAGTATGAGTTCCCAAAGTTATGCTCCTGATGTCTGCTTTTTTCAGCCCTGTTCCCCACAAGAGATACAATTACTTTATGTGACCTTGTGTGCATAAGCGTTCTCCTTACCAACTTCTACCTCCATCAGGTAGGGAGTCATTGCAAGAGAGTAACGCTGTAATGCATATTCCCCTGCAGGCAAGGCAGTAAAGACTCCTAATGCAATATTCTTACTACAAAAGGTGACTGTTTCTTCTGTTGACACCTAACTATAAACTCTCTTACCTTAAAAAAAAAAACAACAAAACTCAGTGCTCATACCACTTATTTCTTTGTTAATCAAAGAATTGAAAATACATTGCTACTTTTCATGATTGTGGAACAGGGAATTTCAATGGCTTTGACCCTCTGCGCTCAGAGGGTGCAGAGGCTAGCACCACATGGTGGTGCTAGAGCGGCTGCATTAGTGTTCCTCCCCAAGCGACCAATACAATCACTTCACTTTTAACTATTTCTCACTTAACTTGCAAGATTCGATGAATGGTAAAAATATTATCTTACTGTTGCAGGGTGAAGGCCTCCTGCAGCCATTTTCAGAATACATCACTTACCAGTACAAGACTTTTCCACAGAAAGAGGGTAATCACTATCTCCCACTTTAGTTACCAGAAAACTGGTTTTGCTGCAACAGGATTTACCTTGCTTCCCCTCAGGAATAAATGACTCTTAGCAACTATCCCTTCTTACCTTTACAGGGCAGAGAACTTTGTAACTGTCTACAGATTGGACGTGATCTGTACCTCTGATTTTATTCCTAAATTAAGTTGGCATTTTCAGTCACAAAGAGAAGCATTTCAGAAATTATTTCAAAGTCACACACAAAATGATCTCTTTCAAATCTTTAAGAAATGGCCACATGCAATCTGCTACTGTTTAAAAGTTTTTGCTCTTTCACAAGCAGCTGGTTAAAGTACCATATACACTTGCTGCTGTTTGTGTGACATCGAGATCAAACAAACATTTTCACAGGGGAAGGAAAAAGAAAAGAGTGTAATATTGCACTAAACCTATTTGTCTCTAATAGATAGATTGCTTCTGATCTGCCTCCCATGAGTTTTCAAGGTCAAGGAAAGCTAATTTGTGGCTATGTAATAAGAAATAGCATGGCACAACAGGACTAGACCTGAAGAGCAAGCCAGTTAGCACTGAGGACTAGTATTCACACAATGCATGTTTTGCGGGCTTTACTTTGGATCAGCTCTGATCTACTCCTCCAGACAGGACGCAGATTACAAGTTGGAGCACATTGTCTAGTTTTCACTTGAGAAGGAATCCAGTTCACATGCTAGAAACCTGCTCCACTGTGTGAATTAAATCACAGTAAATGCATCAGAAGACTTGCTTCAAAAGTGCACTTCTGATCCACACTGAAATGCAAACATAATCCAGAGAGAAATCCCATGGAAGAGTTAAGTGTGTATAAAAGTACTATGGGATTAATTAGTATTTGATAGGAACAAAGATTTCAAGTAGTCCCTTTAAGGACATGGGGAAGGGCAAGGTTACCCTGTCTTCCTGCTGTCTGACTTGGTTTTCAGTCAGGGAGTCTGTGAGAATGCAGATGGCCTGTAAGAAACCATGACTGACCCCTCTGAGGATAAGTCACCAGGCATGTACCTAAGGTACAGTCCTAACAAAATTGCTTGAACAGTTGAGGGAAGATTGATTGGGCAGAGGAAACAGTGGTCTAGACCAGAACTGCTCTTCTGTGGGAGCCATCCAAACACTGGTGAATGTGCCACAAGGCTCTCAAAGACACTCCATGGCCATGCCAGAGACAATGGCTGCCTTAGAATGAACTTCTGTAAAACAACTCACCTCGTCAATCATTGCTTGGTATTATTTTTGCTTTCCCTACAATCTGATACGACACTGATCACATCACCAAATACTCTTTTGGATTTCACTTTGTAAGAGACAAGGGTTTTCTGTGCCTCACAGAAAGCCTCAGCACATGCAAGATCAAACAATTAGACACACATACCCCCCCTTCTTTCAACTGCATCTCCAGCTAAATGACATATCTCTTTTCCAGAATGTTTGTGAAAATTCACTTTTTTCACTGACAAGGAGATTAACCCATCTCCAGTGCAAGACTGCTGCAACGCTAAGTATGAACTTTTAGGCAGTGCAGAAAACATTAATCTCTTGACAGAAAAAAAGCTACCGTACTGGCCAGTTAAGCACTCTAAAATGCCTATTCTCACAATAACGTTTGAGTATACAGAAAAGGCATTTAAAAAGGCTCATTCTGCTTTAAACGCAGCAATAACTGGAAGGAAGTCAGTTACCCATATTTTCCTGCAAGTTCCTTCGCTTCTTCTTCTTTCACCACTCTTTGGTCTTCCAGATCACTCTTGTTTCCACATAATACAATGTCAGGGTTTTCACAATATGCATGCATTTGTAGCTGACCTAACAGCAACAACATGAATAGGGGTCACAATTTGCTATCACACATGAAGCTCACTAAGAACACTACCACATTTCAGGGGACACAAAGTCCTTCAGGAGAATGACTCTTTGAAAGACAGAAAACAGTGTGTTCTCTGGTACCTCACAGGACTTCTGCTATTGCTCTGAGGAGCCAGAAAACAGGTGGCCATCCACTATCACATACCCAGTGAAAAAGCTGGAGGAGCAGAAGCCTGACAAAGCTAGCATGAAGCTGTGTATTTGTAACTTTAGGAGTTATGCTCACCAAGCATATTCAGTGAGCTGCCAGGAAAGGATATACTTCCCTCTCCTGAAGGATGATGGAGTCTGGGAACTCCTCTGTCTAGGTGCACCAGCCTAGTAACATCCGCCTTCCATTAAGTTTAGCTGACAAAGCTTAAGTTGAGTCAAAATAGAGTTTTGCATAGGCTTTCCACGCACTAAAATTACTGAATATCATCAGAGCCAGGGATATGATTTTCTCTCAGCTTGCTTTCATCTAGGTTAAGATTCAAGTTCAGCTGGCAAGGCTGAATTTCAGGTAAGCACTAGAAGCCACTGCTAGCAGCTACTATAATTATGAATGCAATATTTTCTTTCTTCTACTGAGAAAGCTATAAGAAACAGTATTTCCAGCTCTATTTCTCAGTGAGACTCTGTATTTATAAAAACACAACCCTCTCCCCACCCATGCTAAGAAAGAAAGAAAAAAGAAATGCCATACTTATCCAGTTCCTGACATTCAGAAAGCTTTGCTCATTTGTCAGATCAAAGAGCAGAAGAAACCCCATGGCATCTCTGAAGAAAGCCGTTGTCAGGCTACGAAACCTAGACCAGTGAAAGTAAATTCGTTGGTTCATCTGACAACTTACTTTGAAAATATAATAGCATAGAGGCATAAAACTGAGGTAATTTAAGACTGAGTTAACTGGAATGAAATATTAATCATAATTGTTCTGCTGATGTAGGGACGGCATAACAAGAACTTCTAACATTACTATGGCCTAATCAAGGCCTAAGGAAGTCAAGGAGACACTTCGCTCTCACATGAGAATGACTTAGACAAAGTCTTCTACTATAAAGCATGACTTGATCAAGATTCAGGAATTTGGTCCCTAATCACATCAGTTCTTGATTTTAAGACTACCAACCACTACACTGCTACTCTTTTGATAGACAAATAGAAAAGAATCTTTTGAGGCGATTTCATCTGTCTGACTTTCCCAAGACCTCAACATACTTGCATAAATTTAAGGAAAACTGATAGGAAAAAAAAGCTTTAAAAGCATCTCTATGTATTGATTATGAAAAAATAAACTGAAAGTTTCCAAAAGCCAAAAAGCAACAATTACAGTTTTAATGTTCTGCAGTTGGAAATTACAATTGTAATGTAATGGGTATTCATAGGAAACTTTCTATTGCTGTTAAAATGAAAGTAAGCACACTTTCCCATCCCAAGTCATACAATTAAAATGTAACAATCAATAAAGAGAATTCATGCACTCTGTCCCATTCACAACTAGCTTGATGACCCGTGCCTTACTTGCTAGATGTGGGATGGAACATACCTTTCCTGCCCTGCAGTATCCCAGAGCTGAAGATGTATCCTCTGTCCTCTGCCACCAATACCATCTGGCCCGTTGGGTCTATATACCTGTAAAAGGTAAATTTGCAAGACTGAATGTTAGAGGTCCAACCCCTATAGAACACAAAATAACTGACATTTTAAGTCGCTAAATGCAGCAAAACTAGCACTGTCAATGCAAAGATCCCAAGTGCAACTCAATCCATCTGCTTTATAAGACAAAAGTAATATGGGATGCACTTTATTTTGCATCCAACTGAATATTTAAAAATAAGGGTAAAAGTGAAATTGGCAGTTTCATTACACAAGCTTAATTTTACTATTTTTGTTTTCTATTTAACTGTTATCTTGTATCAAATTGCTTTACTTCCATCTTGTGTTGAAATTAAAATATAAGAAAGCAACAATGGGATCCTGCAACCAGGCAATATACTTGTACCACTACAGAACTTCATTAGCAAACAGAATTTACTGACAATGACATCTTATCTTAGCTGCCAAAAAATTGCTGAGAAAGAGCTGAGGGTAGATCTTATCATATCATAGCTTAAAAAGCAGAAAATGGATAATAATAATAAAGCTGAAGTGTTTACTCAGCATGAAAATATAAATAAGGGCATCTGTTAGCTTTGGAAGGATCAGATAAGAATTGATTAATTTCTTGTTTAGAACACCTCATTGTTAGGTCTTCTTTACTTTCAACTGCTGTTGTACCCATGTTTGTAACTCTTGTTATCTTATCTTTAGAGACATATAAACTTGCTGAATTTGTGGATTATATGATTCAGGTTGTGAAACCTAAGTCTTATCCTGAGTTATCAAATACGCTGATCAAGTAAACACACCATGTTCAGTATCCCACAAAAGGAGCACTAACTTCTTCAAGAAATTAGTTTTGCATTTCACTGAGATGGTTACTGCTTGCACTACTGTGGTGCATGTCATCCATCAAAAGCCAGCCTGCACAATGCTCTTTACAGGTTTCTGGACACTTGGTAAATCATCAGACTACACTGAAAGGCATTTAATACTTCCACATACAAATGAAAACCACTTATGCTGAATCAATTTCTCAGTGCAGTAAGGACTCACAGACAGTTAGTTATCTTAATGCAGTGCTCAATTTATAATCAAAAGTACACTTCCCTAGTTTGAAAAATTCTGAAGTTTTAAAAGAAAAAACAAACTACCTACTACCTGATTTTTCACAATTCTTCTCTGGTAGCTGCTTAGAAACCCGGTTCAGCTCCATGTATCGTGATATGCCATTTCATTCATGTTTTAAAACTGTTTTAAAAAGCAACACTGCAGTCTCTGTTCACTAGCTATTCGAGTTCACAAGCAGCAAAACCACTTTTACTACAGTTCAATCCTTCCTCATAGAGGTCAACAATAAAAGTGCTACTCCAGGTACTATAAGCACAACTCGGAGAGTAGGTACACTCATTGACACTTGCTGAGCACTAAGAAATTGCTGCTTAGCATCAGCTCTTCTTATTTCAACTTTGGGGGAAATGGGAGGGACAACACATGGTAACAAAAATAACCAGGTAAAATGAAATCATTTCCTTGTCACAAGATTAAGACCACAGTAACTACTGACTGCATCACTACATGTAAGGATTGGCAGGTTAGATTTAAAAACAGATTCTACCCATCACCAGACCAGATACTATTTGAAAGCAGCACAGCATTTGTGAAAACTCACCACTCTCTTTTCCCGAAAGTCAATGCCCACCGTTGTGATAAATTTGGAATTGAACTTGCCATCTGTATATTGGTAAAGAAGGCTGGTCTTTCCTACTCCAGAATCACCGAGTGCTAGGAATTTTATGAGGTAATCATAATCCCCATCAGACATAGTGAGAATTCAGGATACACCTTAAAAAGCAAACCAAAAAGGATTAGTCAGTCAACAACTCTGCCGAGGCTTATTTCGGCAAATGTTTAAAATACAAATCACTACTTGAGGTACCAAGCATCCAGCAGTGAATTCAGTTCTGTACTCTTTTACACTGATTTCACCTTAAACTCCCAGTTATGCCCATTATCAATATCAAATTCAGCTGTGGCTGAAAAAGTGCACAGTTAATTTTATTATATTCCTCTTACTAGAAAGAGAAAGCAACACACAATTTTAACTTCTTCAGAAAGACTGAAAAATCAAGGTCAAAGAACACGAACTGCAGAACTGCCTTTAATCTGTGTGGAAGCTGACAAAAGTTACTTAAACATAACAGCAGTGCAACTCTGATCTCACTTTCACTGGGACATTATTAACTATTAAATAAAAATGACAGTGATTTTCTATTAATAGTTACTTTTCAGTCTTGAAAATGGTTTTCATTTTTTCATACAAAGAGGGAAATTAACCCTGCTAGATTTTGGTTTTGTTGTTGGTTTTGTGGGGTATTTATGTTGTTTTAAAACTGTGGAAATTGCTCCTGTAAAGTTTTTATCATTATGCTAGCTAATCATTTAAGCTAAGTCTTCATCATCAATCGTCATAAAACAACACACACGTTTTCCTGTGGCCTACACACATTTTCTATTCTTTTTGTGCCTTTGAAAAATAACCATATTAAATACAGCCTGATTGAAGAGCAGTAACAGCTAGAATGTGTAACAAAAATCACTGGCAAATATCCCATATGCTAGAAAGAATGATGTAAGTGCACTAGTACTTTCCTGTTGAGTAGCTACTGAGCCTCTCTTCCCCCAAAATAAACAGTAGACAGCTGCCTTATGTTGTGTTCAAAGACATGAACATGAAAAGATAACCCTAAAACAACCATTTTAGAAGCAACATAAAATTGGCATTCTCTTATCAAGGAGGGAAACAGATATAAAAGATAAGATAGATGATGAAAAAAAAAGAATTTAAAAAAGTAAAATATGGTGTTTTAACTGTGTGTAAGTATTACTGGAACTATTTGTAGCTGGAAATAGCTTTGACTTTATTCAAATCAAACATTGCGGTAGTCTGCATCAATGGCAAAAACACCAATAAATTTCTTAAATACAAACTCACAGCTTGAGGTTTGGAACAAACTCAGTAGCTCAAGTGTGTGGGTGGCAGTCACCACCACTAAGCTAAAAACCATAACTATCTTCAAAGCTTCAACTTCATGTTAGTAATGCTCCTGGTTACACGACATAACTGTGCTTAGTTGATTTAGCCATGACTAGACTTACCACAACCAACTGCACACAATGGTCAGATTTATGCCCAGATACCTCCAACTGAAGTCAGTGGAAAGCATCTGATGCTTTTTTGCAATTTCCAGTTTTGAGTCTCCCTTTCCCACATTTTGCATTATGACTTCCATGACAGTAAAACCTTGCAGGAAAGGAGTTTTAGGTGACAGAGTTCACACCACCTTACCACAGATTGCTAATTTACTTTCCACTGGTATGTTTTAATACCAAGTTTTTCAGTAATGGTGTCCTCAACATAAAAGTGTGTCTTCAGTTCGTTAGAAGGACAGGGACCTGCTGCAGTAAGTCCAGAGGCGGGCCGCAACAATGATCGGGGCTGGAGCACCTCCCATATGAAGACAGGCAAAGAAAATTGGGGCTGTTCAGCCTGGAGAAAAGCTGCATGGAGACCTCACAGCAGCCTTCCAATGTCTGAAGGGGGCCTACAAGGATACTGGAGGGGCACTCTTTGTCAGGGACTGTAGTGATAGGACAAGGGGTAATGGGTTCAAACTTAAACAGGGGAAGTTCAGGTTAGCTATCAGGAAGAAGTTCTTTACTGTGAGGGTGGTGAAGCACTGGAACAGGTTGCCCAAAGGACTGGTAAATGCCCCATCCCTGACAGCCTTGAAGGTCAGGTTGGTCAGAGCCTTGGGTGACATGGTCTGGGGTGACGTGTCTCTGCCCATGGCAAGGGGGGTTGGAACTAGATGATCTTAAGGTCCTTTCCAACCCAAACCATTCTATGATTCTATGAATAGAATAAAAGATTGAAACAAAAAAGCCTGCAGTAGTAATTATCAGTGAGTGTTTCATATAAATACACCACAACCGCATGCTTGCATCAACCAGAAGGTCTGAAAGAGCAAAATATTCAAGTAAGCAAGTTGAAAAGGCAGCCACATGCTGACATAAGAGTATTTTTAGAACAAACTAAAAGCCCTGATCCATTAGACACACTCACACATACCAGCAAAAGGTTTTTAGGGGGTTTTGTTTTGTTTTTTAAATCAAACCCCCTGTTGGGGAAGGAAAAAACCCAGGTATAATCTGACTGTCTACCTTGTAGCTCTACAAAGTCTTTTCATTAAAATGCACTAGTAGAAAGGAAAAAGTATTTTAAATAGCAAACAAGGAGGATTTGACTAAAGACTGGATTTGATTTAGACTTCCATCTCGTGTATGGCGGGTTTTTTTCTATCATGTTCTCCAAGAGTAAGAGGCTGTGTAAGCTCCCACTCAAGTACATGTTCTTTCAGTTTCAATACCCCTAATTAACTGTGGCTTAAAAAGGTTCTAATGGAAATCTTAGGGCGAGTATATCATACAAACACAAGCTACCTTTGCATCTTTTACTGTGCCATCCCACCTATACAAAAGTATTTGTCTTGGTGGTACTTTGTTAGCTAGCTATAGGTATACAGAACATACTTTTGATATATAGAACTTACTTTTATAATAACAGAAACCAATTACAGTGCTGCCTAATCACCGCTTATCTATGTTGTAATAAAACTAATTTATCATGCACCCTGTGCAAAGGCCTTACAAAGGAAGAAAGGGTGCTACAGCTTACTTGGAGCTGTAAGAAACTGTTACAGTTCAGCTGCACCCTTCCACTGGCCAGAGCTGGGTGAAAGCTCCAGTTTAAACAGAAAGGTCGGACCTTGGGGAAGCAAAGCCTAAAGGCATTCCTATTATCACGTCCAATTTGTAGAGTATCAGTTTGCACAAACACACCACATCATTCCGACCACCTGAACCTCAGTTCTCCCTATGGCTGGTAACAAATATAACTTGCAAATGACTGATGGAGGACTAGGAGCCCTTCACAGGAAGGACATAAAACGTCTTCTAAAGGATTTGCTCGAGAAGGAAATTTTCTTCTCTGGCTTTGGAAATGCACACACTTTTCACTGCACCCCACAGGGTCAATCTATTATTCAGGTATCTCCAGGGAGTGGTTCTTATGAAACCCTGTGCAGTTAACCTATCCTTGGAGACATGCAAAGAGCTGTTTTCAGAGCAGTTTCAAGCCTTGTCCTCCTCCCTGTACAAATATTTAGAAAGTGATCTCCACCCTCTACTTCCGAGACCTGCAGTTTTAAGTGCCCAGATACATCCAGCTCCACATAGCAAATAAGAAAATATTCACAACAAAGTGAAAACATAGCAAAAATTGTTGTAGAGTTTTTAAGTCATGGTCCCATTACTTCATAGCTTCACACCTTCCAGTCTTTCCTTCCATATTTCTATAATTCATGTATCAGGAAAGTGGGAGGTAGAAAAGAATCAGAGGACATTTATGATACAATTAAACTTCATGAGGTCACCAAAAGAAAAAAATGTGAATTAATTTTAGAATGATCCTCCCCAAATATTGCTTCTAGGAGCAACTGATGGACACAGTTTTAGGCTCCACATCAAGCCCTCCACAGGGTTTTGCCTTTTGTAGACCCCTCCTTAAATCACATTCAGCTCTGGCTTTGCACTTGCCTAGCATGCAGATAAACAGGGGTCATGAGCAAGCGCTGGGAAAATTCCTCTGGTCTTTTCCACTGCTGACAGGACGCCCACAGCCATCACTTAAGCTGTGCCTGTACACCTGCCTCTCTGGAGGCTCCACATACACACACAGCCAGACTGTGCCTTGCCAAGAAGGAACGCTCTGCAAAGCAAGCAGTCCTCTTGTTCACTGGATTTCCTAGTCCAAGGTACTTTCAGATTAACACGCATCACCATTAGAAGGTTCATATTTTTGCCTCCAGGACACTACTATCACATCCCTATTGTGTGATGAAGCATTTAAGACTATGGCAGCACTGCTGCTGTATAAATCAAGGAAATTGACTTGGCATGCAGGATTTCCCCTGTGCAGCATGGGGACAGGGAATATGCTTTCTGAACTGGCCTTGCACAAAACATGCAACTCCTGTGCTGCTGCAGAGCTGATGAAGGGGAGAAGGAAAAAGGAAGCAGGCACAAAGAGTTGAGTAAATGAAAACACAAGCCAAAAAAAAGAAATCAAAACAAACCAAAAGACTCAACAAGCACTGAGCTGCAAATGAAAACGTGTACACACGTACAGGGAAAAATCCTGTAAAACTGAACATGCTCCTAATCAGACAGTCCTCAAGCACATCAATTTAAAGCAAAGCACACCACTTACCCCAAACTCTGCTAAAGGAGTAGTTAGGGCACAGTGGAGAGAGCACTTCCAGTAGGAGTATTTTTCTAGCACCACCTCTTTAGCACACAGCCAAGAGGCCTACGTGTCACCTGTTTGCATTCGTGTTGATGGGTGCTCAGAGATAGAGAGGTGTGCCTCACATCTCCATGTCTAAGGAGGGCGCTGCCTGACAGCATGGCTGGGAAGCAATTACACAGTTCACATGTCCCATTTATTCCTAGAGGCAAACAGCATTTCAGAAGAGATTTGTGCATGACATACCTAAAAGCAGATCTGCTCAATCACCCACATGCCTTAGTAAAATTACATTGTTCCTAACAAGTGGTTTCATATAAAGACGTATTAATGATGGAATATGTGGATCAGTTCCATTCACAGCTTTACATCCTTCTCCCTCAGGTGTGAGGAGGATACACTAGTGTCTAATGCAAACTGCTGGTTTCTTTCTCTTGTACAGGCTAAAGGACACAGTGCTGCTCAGTGGGTACCATGG